GAATTGAAAAAGCTTAAGCCATAGTTTTTTTCGAATTAATTCATGGCAGACATCTACTCTTATGGGTAACTGTTGGTTCTGAAGGTAACAGGTTTCGTTAATAACCTCGGGTACCAATTTGCGACATCATGCAAGCGTCAATCGAAACGCAAAACTTTGCCACTACGGGATATCAAACCGTACCAATCCTCTATCCCTCTTTGCCGTTCGTGGAGCCGCTCAGGAAAAATAAAGCATTGTTCTATGTTCCATGCACGTGCTCCTATGTAATGCAGGACACCGTTTCGAATAAAACTGGACATGATCTGTAAGGAACTCCTAGTTGAGCCTCGTTTACTTCGGGATTTAGGGAGTTAAGAGATTGAGCAACAGCATAATGAGATATTAGAGTATTCAGCTGAAAGGAATGGATCTGTGCTGATTAGGAAACTAAGGGATCAGGACCTATTTCCTTAGAAGTCTTAGTATGAACGAAGTATGAACGCGGCGTCTGAAGTATGAATGATAGGTACCATACTTCGCGATTGCAATGCGAGCGGAGCGCAACTCTGTCATCAAGCCGAATCGTGAGGGGCGTGTCGTTATTGATCTATATGGTTCACAGTGAGCGCCCTTCTTCACTCGTTATTGTGGCGCGATACCGGTCTCTTATGTTACATTGAGCATTCACCCAAAATAGGTTCTAATGCTTGAGCATTTAACATCTAATACGTATTAAACACCTTTCAAAAGAAAGCGGTCGCGAAAACTGTTCACTATGGTGATAGGGCATCATTACTTCTTGAATGTCGACGAAAAACCGACATTTCCAGCACAAGATTTTAGAATTCAATAATAATAAAAATCCAAATTCTACGAGGAGAACGGATGGGAAGCCACTCAGTGCTTAATCGCCAAATTCTAAATAGTAACCAACCTTTTTACAAAGCCCTCTCAGCCAATGCTTACATACAACGGCCTTGTCACCTACGATATGACGGAGAGGGCAGACTAGATTCATTGTGCAGATTCCTTGCACATGCTTCAAACAGACACCACGTCCGCTTTTATCCATTCCAGCAAAAGGCACCTGAATGATGACGTAGATAACTACTTCATATTAACAAGCATTCTTCAAATGGTGAAACACGAACCTCTCTGGCTCCGATCTGATGAAGAAGTGCTTCTTCAACATCAGTCATTTCAGCGTCAATGCTTCCAATAACTTCATCCATTGTTAATGGAATTTTCAGACGCATTGTCGGTTGTTGGTAGACGGACACAAGCTGACGTGTGGCAAGCATCTTTCCTGAAATTCTTTGGAATAAGCAAAATAGGCGCCGGTAGGAAAAAACCGATCAAAAAGAAAGATCCACAAGAACGAGCAAGTTCAATTATATTGCCGTGAATCGAGCAGCCATTGACCATAACTGACTAAGATAGTCATCATTATGTAAACAACAACAATAATACGATGCTTGTAGGAAAAACAAACATGAAATAAAACAAGAAAGCAAGCTGAAACATCCCGAAATTGGAAATGAAGACGTGGATTGATCGGCGAGCGGTCGCACAGCGGTTTCTCGCGAATAATGTGCCCCGAAGCTAATTTTGGTATACTGTATCATCTTTCGCAGTCGTTTGTCTTTCCTTTTCGACATTTTTTGCTCACAGAATGTTTTGTGAGGTTTTGAAAGAGTGGTTATCTTCGAAGGTTCCGTAACCTCTCGTATTAACGAAACACCCAGATCGGTATTCTCCATATAGTGCGTTCAAATATTTTCGATTTTCTCATGAGTATCGCGTTTCTTTCAGTTCCTGCAACCACCTTCTTTTCGGCTTGCCTTTTTGAAACACTCAATGATATATCTCTTCCTTTAGCGCTCCTCAGTTTCAAATAGATGAAGGGGCTTGTCGACTACGGAAGTGACAGCGGAAGCGGCTCTGACGATGAACCGAGCGATATTGTCTCAAATGCCCCTGTAAGTTTCTTTCTAAAAAGACTTGAAGTGGCACATGAGTGCAACTTTTGCAAATGCAGTTTTTTCTGTTTCGTTTTATTCAAGAGCAAATGATCTTTCCCAAGGGCACATGAATAGTCGGTTGTTCGATGGTAGCGATCGCACAACGTTAGATAGGTTCGATCGTCCAGTCCGCGGAGACGTCTGGTCTGACGATCGATACGCATCCAACGCTGTGCGATGTTACGACCCGACCATGAATCGCTTAATATAATGGACATGACGTGGGACCACTGATCACAGTCGGCGACTAAACAATTTCTTTTCTTGGGAAGGGGAATTGAGCGAAATAATTCCCTACTTCGTCTTAAAACCTTAAACTTATGTAAGCATACCATGAGAAGCAGCAGCTGTCGTTAACTCAAACTAATTTCAAGGCTATTTTACCAAAGATCACCAAGGTCGAGCACTCGTCTTCAAATGGTGGCGATGATTCATACTTTGCAGAAGATGATGTTTTTGAAGGTGGAACTACACTCTTCACTTTGTAATTTGGGTTAGTGAATTAATAAATTTAGCTTTCTCTAGGTACGTCCTCGCTGAATTTACCGGCTGTCATTGAACCCAGTACGTCGGCCACGAAAATCAAAGCTGAAGGCGAGCTAGAAGATATGGTTAAACCAAAAGAAGTGGGAAATCAAATTAGCCGAAAAGGAGCGAAGGCGTAGGGAAAAGAAGGTCAGTGAAGAAAAATTTCATCAACGTTGAACCCTTAGTGACATCTTTTTGTATTTATTAGGAGGTTTTTCAAAAGTGAACATTTGTTTTTAGTGCTCTCACAATCGAATAGCCGAAATGTGATCAAGTGTTGAGCATCAGCTCCTTCGGAACAATTTCTTTGTTTATAATAGGGCACAATAAATACCAGTTCCAGGACAAGAAGAGAGAGAAGAAGGAAAAGCGTAAAAGGGAAAAGCACGTCGTGGAAGCAGTTTCTAATGGCCAAGAGAAGAGTGTGAAAGG